TGCTGTTATAGAATAAACAGATATGTAAACGTAAATTTATTAAGTCGTATTCAAATGTAATAACAGGTATAACCCATACTGTACACGAACCTGAATATGAACTATATATATATATATATATAGTTCGTGTACATTATGTTTATCTGTGCGAATATCTGTAGTCGTAACTCTAGTTATCGCTTTTTATTAAACTCTATATTTATACTTTTCTTGTATATTTTCTTCAAGTAAAAGTAAATTAAGTAAATCGCGATAAGGAAATATTTTTTAAGTTACCTTTCGTTAAGTTCTTCCTGTGACAGATTTAATATGAAACAATATAGTTATATTATAAAGCATATAGTAGAAGCAGAAATAATAAATTTCCGGTCGAGAAGGACGACAAAGTCAAGTTGGCACTTCTGAACTGATTCCAGTCAAGTTGCTTATAAAGAAACTAGACCGTCAATTGCTATTTCGGTAGAGATATTTTTTTCTCTATTTTTTAAACATTATTTTATATATAAGCAATAGTTATTCGCCTTGTAGCTTATATTCCAAAATTATTTATTTATTGCAAGTAAACAGGTACATATTGATATTTTTTTCCATTTCTTAGATTGATTGCGCTAATTATATCTCCGTTGCATAAATATTCACAAAAAAATTATAACTTTTTTACATTATATATAATAATATTACTACAGATTCAATTTACATGAGAGTAGTGCACTGACTAGACGACATCTCAAAATTTTGTTTCAATAAGTTTAGGCTCTAAAAGATTTAAAAGAAGTTGCCCAGGCTCTTATTTATATATATACTTCATTAAAACCATACATTGTTAAAGACGTAGATACTTATATAGCTATTCCTAAACCTTCGAAATTCCAGACTTCGATGACGTAACACTGTGTGTATATCACGTTCTACGCCCCTTTACGTGCAAAACGGACGGTAAGTTAGGAAGTTGGTGGTCGATTAGGCAAGGGCGTCCTTGAGCCGTAACGCCGGTCGATATATGACGTAATGGAGGCATGACGTCACAGGCGTCGCTCGATGCAGGGCCGAGACCGAACCATGCCGCCTCGCGCCCCTTTCCACCCCACACTAGCCGTTTTCCAACCACTCTATATTTTTAGATGGTGTGACGTAATTACGCTTCAGAACAGCGAACGACTACAAAATGAATGGCTAAAAATATTCTGCAGATTCACTATACACAATTACCTACGTACTTAAATGGGAGTACTGATTGATAATTAGGAGCTTTTATCAATAAAGATATTTATCTTACTCGTAAATTAGGTCGTCACTTTTACTGTCTTCAGTAATATTTTAGTTTCCTTGCAATTGGATTTTACGATAGTAATTGTAAAAATGATTTTTTTCTTTCTACATTATAAAGTTACCGAAAAGTAAAAGGTTTTTTTCTGGTGCCTTGTGGTGGTGGTGCGTGTTCGTACGTCTGTCAGAGTCTGTGATACTTCTTCAGACACTAATAATTCTGTTAGGATAATTTTATATTAATTTATTAGGTAGATAAATTATTAGAAATGTAAAAAAAGGAAAATATTCTTTTTAAGAGCGTTGAAAATGGATGCTTAATAATTTCAATATCGATCTATTAAACTGAGATATTCTTGTATTTCTGCACCTTGTATCTACCTACTTATTTGACCTGAACCTTCGATGTAAGAATCGACTTTCATTTTCATTGTTTTATTTTTTATAGTATTGCGAGTTTTGAGATTATAGTTTCAGTTATACGTTATACCAAATATTTATTAAAAGACCAACGAAACATCTATTATAATGCAAAAATAAAACAACAGTTTTCCAACATAACGTATAGAGAGTGAGAGCCGTCAGTTTTACTGCGGGTAGGTAGCGGGATGGGACCCCTTTGGTGCAGAGGACAGTCCACCCATGGGTGGCGTCAGTTAGAGTGACGCACGTGGGGCTGTAACTCCGCGGTGACGTCACGCCAGCTGTACGATAACGTTGTATTGTATCATTCTCTATCTGTCAATAGCATTCACGCTATAAATGAATTATGCCATTAGGTACCTATCGCTCCAGGTAAGTAACTATATCATGCTATATCTAGTTCAAGTCACAAGATCATTCGTTAGTTGAATCCAAACGTATTTTGTTATTCAAATATCAATTTGCATTTTTAGTCTATAAAATTTTAATACTTAATTTAAACTCAAAATATATTCATATATTATTTTAATAGGACCACTTTTGTCTTCTATTAGGCAAATCATAGGTATTCGTGAGTCTGTATACGTTCACAACTCACAAGATAATAATAAGTATCAATAAAAAGTGAAAGTTTGTTTTACCGAACTTGATGTTTCTCGGGTCGTCCGGCATGTAGTGTGCGATGTACATTATTGTATATGTGTGGTGTACAGTGTGCAGGGTCAGCGGTTGCCTATATGTCTAATGTGTATCGACTGATGATTATTAAGATGAGCCGTGTTACAATATTATGCGTCGGCAATTTGCAGAGGCTCGCATCTCGATGGCCGGCAGGTGCAACGTCTGCCGGTTGCGACAGTGAATTGAGCAAGTAGCAGGCAGTTTGGCTGAGGCCATCGGCTTCGGAGACCGGAGGCTATCGCGACATAAACATCCCACATTATAGTCACAACTGTTACCTAACTCGTTCTGGGTGAAACAAATCCGAAGACAATTCACCGTGTTCAGTTGATTGGTAGGTAATAAAAATAAAATAATGGCGCGAATGAGGTGGCGCTATTTATGTACATCTAACTCTTATGACATCGCTATGGGTATAATTTATGCGGTCTACACGATTCTTCTTCGACCAGTCCTCTTAAGTGTTGAAATTTATTGCACCATTACCCGTTTGTATTATATCTATACTTGACTCTAATTATACAGAGCTTTAGTTAATTCATATATTTAAAAACATTAAACTACAGTATATATTTGAGTTTATCATAGTTAGAGTACATCGTTAGATATATATATATATACTAATAAGATTATGTTGATTTCACTTGTTGTGGCGTAAGTGGTATTACATTGGTCTTTATATTTATATATTATATTAAATATTTATTTTAAGAAATAAATATTTTATAAACTAAGCGATACAAACTCTATTTAAAATTATGTATTATAAATTATATAGTACATTTACATAATTAGGATTTCAATTTAATAATAAATGCCAGGGTAGGTAGAGACTTTACATATATGAAAATAATTTAAATTTGATAATTGTAATTGTCAAAACTTGTATATGTACATGCAGATGGAATATCTTACCTATATATTCCATGACACCGGTAGTATTAAATAATAATTGTAGATATATAAAAAATTAACATTTTAGGTATCTCCGATAGCTAAAACCCATCTCGATCACGTCGGCGGTAAAAACGCATCATAATAAGTCCATTCCTTTACGGAGTACAATGCCACGTATAGATTCGTTAAACTACTAATCCCTCTTTTTGAGTTGAGCAATATTGAGCACCAATAAAAATAATCTATTTTGTTTGTAGAAGTGACGGCGCGGTCGTATATTTTGTAATTGGAAAGTTAATTTTGAAATAAAAAATTAAGAATATACAGATTGTTAACGGTTTTTAATATTTTTATTGCTGAATTATGTATTAAAATATAATACATACATATATATGTGAAAAAAGTAACAAATATGAAATTTTTGATTAGTTATTACGTATTGTTTATAGTTAATTCAATTTTTATGGGAAGTGTGTTAAAAAGGAAAGTAAATTAAATATTTATTCTCATTTATTATAAGACATCGTCTTCTTTTTTCTATTAATAAAAATAAACTCGATAGTTGGAGCTGACTCAAATTGATCCATTGTGAAAAAAAATATCATTAATAGAAAGAAAATTAACAATTACTACCTTATCTATAGAACTATCTATACATTTATTACTTAGGTAATTTATATATATATATATAAAATACCTATAGTTAGAACTTTGAACACAAGGATTCTTTTTTTAAAGTTTTGGCTTATCGAATGCTATCATAATTTTCCACCTTTTTCTAAATGTTCAAATACAATTTCTATTTATCACACTAGAACAATATATCTAAATGATTACATATAGTAAATAAAATTATTATTATCATTACTATATGATAATCTAAATGGCATATTATAAAATTCCTTATGATTGGAATCCCGGATGGAGTAGTCAGGAGCAACTTTCGATGTCGTTTTACATATGCATACAATTTAATTGTCGGCATATTATTTAATTTAGTTTGTTGAGAATGTTTTTATTAAAACAACCATTCAGGCGCAAAAAAATCTGTTGTTCGCCAGATTTGAAGAAATGAATTCAATATAAATGTATACCGCTACATTAAAAATAACTTTTATGAAAAATACATTAATCACGTGACTTGAAATTTGTAAAAAAAATATTTCTCTAGTCATATACATGTTAGGAATAGACAACAAATGTTAAGTATCATAATAAACTATACCGAGATAGACACGAGTTTAATAAACTCTATTTAAAACGTGATCGACCGAGAAAAAATCTATGACCAAACCATCAAAAAGTAACTGCGCTACGTAGGGTAAAACTTAAATAAAATATAGACATGAATGTCTTTATATCCATATTAAGAAATACTTGGTTGGTTATTGTTATGTTTGTACGTGTAGGAGTAAATTATATAAAAAAAAAATGCAGTTAAAAGTTATTTAATATCGTAACTTATATCAAAGTTACGATATTAAATATAACCTAACTGCTCTGGGTTTTAAATAAATTATGATAATAAATGTTACGAAACTATTCTAAAATATATTATGACTTCGTTATTTTATTTTCAAGGAATAAGTACTTCTTTTTATTGATGTAAGTATAACAAGGAACAACATATTGTAAAAGGACAGAAAGGAAAGTCAACTTATAAATAAAACAACAGAATAAGAAAAAATATTGTAGGTAATAAAAAAAAAATAAACAAAAAGGGGAGTACGTACGTGTGTGTTGGAATTGTCTAAAGGCGCAGTGTTGGCTGGAGGGCGTCAGCAACGCACCTCGCATTCTAGCCGATAGCCATTGTCACGACAGTTCCACACAAAGTCTACAACACCCAGAGGTTCTACACAACGAAAGCGAAAATAAACACAGAAGTATTGGATCGCGTATCGTCGTGCGGGCGCTGACCTGGCGCAGGCTTTTCAGGGTCCAGCGAAGTTTCGCGCGACTCCAGGGTCAGGCCGAAGCACGCGCCGGACAGTCCCAGCTCGCTCAGCAGGATCCTCATGCGGCCGAGCACATTCCACTCACTGCACGCGCACTCACTCACTCAATCTGTCGGCAAAGTCGAAGTGGTTCGCGAGAAGGTGCACGGAGGTACGCGCTTGTGAACGGGCGGTGCGTTACTGAGGCCGCCGCCGCTGAGGCTGGTGGCTATATCGCGCTGTCTGACGTCACGGATGTGACGTCACGGTGGCGACGTCATTAACGGTACCTCCCACGGCCCGCCCGCGGCCGCCTCGCCGCTGCCGCCCGCCCGAGCCTGCGCTAACGGCATCGCTAGTACGGAGCGGAGCTTTCGTATGCCTGTATAGCCGCCGCCGCCGAAGCCGTGCGCCGCCCGCGCCCTCGTCACGAGCCGCCTCAACGGTCTCATTGCATCGCCGTTTTCTGCAACGGTTTCTCACCCAATTCTGAAACTATGGGAGTTTATTTAGTGACAATCACGCCAGAAAAATATGTAATTGTTACGAGTTACGCTGTACATTTATATATATATTTGTATATTTGTAGATTTATTATAAACTTAAAAATATTTATTTTTATAAACATTTACAGCAATTGTAACAAATGCTGCAATTTTATTTATTTATTAAATTATCTATATAAATAAAATTGCCGCATACTTTGAGTTTCTATTACAGGATTCTTATATATACTATATATATCCTATATATTCTTATATAAGGATTCATTCTACAAATTTTCAACATATTTAATGAAGTTGAAAACATACGTTATTTATTATCAACTGTCGTTTATATTGGAAGTCCCGAAGATTCCAATTTTGGTACTTACTACTTTATAGTGCACTTCTCTGTGTATTAGGAAATTGCCAACACTTAATTTAGACATGATTTGCTCGAAAAATTCTGATCAATCACACACCCCTTTAACTGAAATCTATTCAACCTTTTTCTTGTGATGACGTAATATCAGAGCAGTTCTAATAATAGCTGATTTTAATTATATTGCTCATTACGAAATTCCCATGAAGATACTTAGGTAGTGTTACTTCCATGCTAATCACATACTATTTCATTAAGACTAAAGACGATTTTTCATATAACCAAAGCTTAAATCGGGGAACCCATTCCACTATGTTATAAATGACGAGTGTAATATTGCAATTGTAGGTACTTTTGGCTAATTATAAAGTGAAACTGATGTTCATGAATTTATTTGAATAAGCGAGTAAATACGTCACAAATATAGCTATTCATATTTTACGGATATTATTTCGTGATATTATATTGGATGTATTGGCATGTATGGCAATAAATGGATTTATTATTATTATTATTATTATATTCCATTTAATATATTTGGACAATGTTGTACATGTCCAAATATATTAAATGGAATATAATAATACATAAAATAAGTAGGTTATTTTATATAAGGTAAACGTTTTTCATTTCGATACATACTAAAAATCGTTTATATTTCACTAATGACTGGTAAGTATTACTGTAAACCCATTGAAGTGTTCTATTTATACATATAATTTATAAAGGTACCTTCCTATGAAAAGGTACTTTTACCTATTCTTTGGCACATAACAAAGGAGAAAAAAATTATTTTTACGTTTTTGGATATGATAATGGAGTGCGAACATGTCATCTTTCTTTTCATCTCAGAATTATTCATTCTAGAAGTGGTATAGGAGGACAAATATATCTGTGTTACTTCCATGTGCAGAAAAACTCAAAATAAAACTGGCAATTTCTTAAGGAGTGTTCTATGTTTATTAGCGGAGGACATTGGATTATAATGATGATATATTTTTTTATTAGAGGATAATGGTGTGGTATATTCTGCTATGCTAACGGTATGTGCTGACACCATTGGATTATAAGGTGAGGATGAAGTAAGGTCAGTCACTTCATCATAGCGAATTCATTTAGAATAAACCATGGTAGTTTCTAGGAGGAATCGCGTAGAGGTCAACATAAACTGGTCCACCCATAACTAGCAATGGCGTCACTAGTCTCTGTTACTGTTAATCCCCCTAATTAACTGTGATATTCAATTTACTTGTAGAACGACTACTACTTAATTAGTTGTACTGTAGATAGAAACAAATATTAAAATTTGTTTAAAAACAATATGTTATAATATTATTTGACCTACTACAATATTTTCTAATGTGATAAAATATGACAAATTATATTTTACTACATTGAAAATGTATGTCTTTAGACTATTTATACTTATAAGGTAACGTAAAAAGCGTTTATAAGATATGGATTTACAAAATTTTGTCCATTACTTAAGATCGATATTTGGAAATTATGTTGATTACTCTCGAAAAATAGAAAAGGTGTATGTTGTAATTGGTCATGTATCGAGGTATTGGAGGACAAAATGCAGCGGTGACGATATCGGGCAGTCTCGGCGACGCGTCCATCCCGACGCATCTCATGCTCTCATTCGGGGCAGACCGCCACACGTTTCCGCATTGATTGTACCCGTCGTCACACGAGGACATATATAGGGTGGATAATACTTTGACATACAATACATATTTGTGTGTTTTCGAAAGTGTTGTTAAAAATATTATTTTATGATTATTTCAAGTAACTAAACAAAATTAAAAGTCAATTTATGTACAAGTACTGAAATTCAAAATAAAGTCAAGATGAGAAAGAGTGGGTATAGAGGAGAAAGAGTGGGTATAGAGGAATGAGGAGGAGAAAGAGTGGGTATAGAGGAATTTAAAGAAAGATGTCAAGTTAGAGATACCTAAGTGGTGTTCTATGATACGTATGTAAAAATTGGAAAGATGCTATGGTATAGGCTGTAATTGTTACGAAGAGATATTCTCAATGCCCTTTTTAATAGAATATTTACAAAATGTTTAAGTATAGATTGAGGCCTTTATCATTTTCATTTCGTGTGCAAAAATCAATAATTTGATATTTGATAATCGGACAGATTGAGTTAGATAAAAAACTGACGCTATCGTCGAGGGGGGGTTGTCTTTCTCTGTGTATCCGCATTCAGTACGATGCATGTATTTGCGGCTGTTACGATTGGTCGCATGCCCCAGTACTATTTGCTGCCTGCAGAACGGGCAACCGTCCAGTTATTCTAATTTTACTTATAATCGATCCCGTCGCATCGTCGACTTACAGACAAAAGACTTCCATCCGTCAAAGTAGAAATAAGCATAAGATTATGCCTCTAAACACTTCACCTGCTAGGCAGATACGTTGAGGATTAAATAAGCTGAGCCATCGTTTTTTCCTATTTCTTACAGCTATTAACTGACTTGAGACTGCTATGGTACAATATTATATTATTCTATATAATATTCATAGAAAAAGCAGTACTTCTTAAATTAATAATTATTGATATAGTGATCCTTATTAAGCAAGACAATTTAATTTTCACAAAATAAAACGGAAATAATATATAACATAATGAATTACTATTCAATTGTATATGTATACCTCAATATGGTAAATTATATATATTAGATCTATAATAGTATAGATGAACAATATTTTAATTTATGTTCAATACAATATTTTTACATTCAGAATATGTAGGTAAGAATACGTTTTAATTACGTTTTCAATACCTTACCATTCAATTAAAATATCAACCTACATGCAAGCAAATTTGCAAACTAAAAACTAAATGGGAGGCATCCATTACTTCAATTAGTTATTTTGTTTAGTCTAATGTGATAATAAGCAAAACAATTAACTAAACAGTATAGTTTGATTAAAATAATAAATAATATGTTTAAATAGCTAAAATATTCTGTATGGATATACATATGTAGTAGAGTTTGTTTTAAATAGTTTGAACACTTGTAGCCGCCTGGTACGTTAGGTTGCTCATAATTATTTTTTAGGTAAAAGATAGTATACGTCTGTCTTCGTGGTAAAATTTATTACCTATGCTTATTTTAGTGTAAACATTGCACGCACATATACATATGTGTACTAATAAGTAGTTATTAGTATCTATAGATTAACGGGTACGGCCACTGATTGAACTATTTCCTTTTTTACAAAATGGCATTGCTGGTAGTCGTTCTACTCTCCCTAATTGAGTCTTATATATAAAATGTTAGTTACCATACTCCTCCGAAACAGCTAGACAGATTTTTATGAAATTTTATATGCATATTCAGTAGGTCTGAGAATCGGCTACTATCTAATTTTCATACCCCTAAGTGATAATATATATTTTTATTTTATTTGACAATATTTTTAATTTTTTTATAATGTGCCATTAAAAACGTATTACACCAACCTTGAAAAAAAAATTTGGATTGTGCTGAAGAATAACGCCGTGGAAGCAAAGATTGATGTCCACTATTTCACAAAATATTAAGTAGTAAATATTTGAATTAACATGGCAAGATGAGAGCCGTCTCTAGGATTAATTAATTTAGTTAGTTGTTAACTTTTTCTATAGTTGGCTACTGTAGTTTTCCTTGAAACTGTATAGGATCTGTATTTTTTAATTAATTAATGAAATTCGAGTCAATACTCAGAAAATGTTGCATTTTTTTTAACTTTGTGTCCTATTTTGATTGGTAAGTATAATAATTGTTAGATAACTCCACGTAAAATTCAAGTCAAGTCAAGAAAGACAGTTTACAGCAACATTTAAGCTACTATATTAATGGTCCATTCGAGTTCAAAGTCACTACAAGATAACGTAGGTAATCAATTGATCCTAAATTACTGAATTTCAATGAAGATAAAGTAAATGTTTGTATTGGACTCTCTTAATGTATGTATATATAGATAGTTATTATTCAACAAGTTTGATATATCGAAAATTTCTTACTCAGTAAATGGCATTTTGAAACTCTTTTTATGGTAGCAGTATGTAGATATTATTTATTCATTTTAACCTTAGTAGGTATTGTATTTTTTTGTAGATCCGGATTACGAACATGAGTTTGTTGATTCATGAACCGGAGCCATGTTTTAAAATAATGCAATTTATTCACTTTTGACTATATTTTCTACAGAAATAACTGATAACGGTTTGTAGGTACCTACATAATATATTTATCAGTAGTTTGTTAATAACAGTTGATGCATAACCGCGTCATGTGCGTTAAATGTAAAGTAAGCATCTGTAATGTACCGTTGTGTGTGTGGATATATATATATTACATTTGCTCAATGTATGCGTGTGAGCTGATATCGATGCGCGAACGCAGCGACCGCGGCCGCGAGAATTCCATAATGTGAACGCGACTCGACTGTTTCTATTCAATGAAGTCAGCGCGTTTGTTAGAATATTGAGAGCGATTGTAAATTGTACTAATTGAGCATGGCGGTCCTTGCTGGCATAACAGTAGCTTCATCAATTCCCATCTTTTAATGCCTATGTCGTACGTAATCCGCTTATTTTCCCAGTGAAGCAGGTGTACCTACGTTTCTATACGCGGTCGACGCTCTGCAATTATTTAAAACTGGGTGTATGCTCATTATGCACAATGCAAATGTGTGTGTGAAGTGTCCACAAATAGTGCAAAAGGAGATCGATTCAATTATCTCTATTGTAAGTATAGATAATATTGTAATAATCAAAATATATCATATATATTTTCTGTTGTGTGAAAGATTTTGAGGTTATGTTAAAATTGCTCAAGACGAAAATACTCCATCTAGGCACTTTGTGTATGTATGCAGCCTATTTAAATCTATGGGTGACCGATTATTGTTAATGTATCACATGTTCGTTTTTATATGTAGGTATAGGTATTTGTAATAAGATTATTTGGCGCTTCATCAAAATAATTGTCTAAACGTTTTCAATGTTGTTATTATGCTAATCTTACTAGATCGGAACCATGATATGTATGTTATTGGTAGATATTATACTTTCTTCAATTTATTGTTTCAATATCTGACTATGCTTACTTAGAGTACCTGTATACAATAGTGCATAATTGTTTGTTTAGAAGATTTTGTAAACAAACTAAATGCTATGGAAGTAAGGTTTAATTTGTATATATATTTTATGACTTTCATGTAATATTTGATTAATGTTAAAATTAAATTACTATGTCAATAGTTTGACAGGTAGCTATAATCGAAAACTTATTATTTGTACCTAGTTAGTTTTAGATTATGGTATCAATTTGATTACGATATGGGTATACCCAATATGATATTAGGGAGGAAGAGGTAGTTGACCCATTGCTAACAATATACTCTGGCAGGTCGATCTCCATGTTTCCTGGAAACCATCACAGATAATATCGAATATATTTTATAAGGTGAATTAAGTGACCTGATTACATGCTCAGGTTTTCATCTTTTATTGGTGCCTTGTTAGTGAACAACATTAGTGCAGGCGTGATCAGAATTTCATTATTGTTCACAAAAACATAAACATACTATACAGTTGCTTTAATAAATTTAGATATCTAACTATAAAAACTATACTCTAAGTTATTTAGTTTTTACAGCCAAATTATACAATAATGAACATTCTTTTGGTTTAAAATTAAACTCATTTTGTTTCCTGTCGCGACCAATCTAGTCCTAGTAAATGTAATAATATGTATCATGTTGGTAGTTATTAATATGTACTTCTATTATTAATCAGTGGTAATGACGCTACTACATGTAGATCTACTTGAAACCAGTATTTAAATTTGTAATTAAGTATTAATACAAAATGGAAATTTAATGTTGGTTACCAGCTCGATCTAGAAGCTAAATACTTACGACTTGAGTGTATTCCCAATTGTATAGCGGAAGGAATACTATTATATAGATTCCAATTCTTAAATTTTATGATTTCATTATCTAAAATGTTACTATCTCGTATCATCATCGTAATGATACACTTACATAGTTTTACTATTTTGTTGTAATAATATCACCTATATAGTAAAACAACTTACATTTATCTCGAACAAAACCTGTTACCATTATCCTATGAAAAAATATTCCATATCATGCCCAACAGTGGGATGATATGGGATTTTTATGATTATGATGTAAAACTATTTATATCTATAACAAACTTTATATCAACTTTTTCATGTTTAGAAATAATATCATATGATTAACTATCGGTATAGATTCAAAGGACTATGACTAGGTACAATGTAACATATTAATAGTGACTTCATTCTGATTATATTTAAAACCCAGATTAAACGATAGTTGACGCAATGTAGTTCTCTCTCTCTCGTTTAGTTTCTTAACGTCATTTGTGTTCTTATGGTTTTACTTGACAGTTTTCTACAATTATCAAATACAGTAAAAAATTGGGTGAGTGCTAAATTACTAGACATATATTTATACTTTATTAATGTGTCAATTAATAAAATAGCGCCACGTCAGAATTTTGCTCGTGTCCATTTCAGTGGCAGCGGAATATTAATATAGTAAACGTGAAAGTATGTATGTATGGACGTTTGTTACAATATCACGGAAAAACTACTTACTGAATGGATATTAATGAAATAGTATATTAATACAGCTTATACATTAGAATAACACACAGGCCATAATTTTTTAAAGATATTGTGTGTCCAAAATATGTAAACAGGAAAAAATCGGCCATTTGCGAGCTATTCTGGCGTGCTTCTGTTACGCCTTCACGACTAAGCCGCAGAATCAATTTTGGTGAATTTTGCTATAAAGATTGGAGAAGAAAATAAGATACTCGAAGTACTAATTCTGTGCAGACGAAGTTGCGGCGCCAGCTAGTTATATTAGGTATATTGGCTGACTCACGCAACTTCATCTGCGTCACTTTTAGTTGATGCTTCGATCCTATTGGTCGTAACGTAATGTTATATACCATTCCACTATAAATGGGATATCCAACACTACAAAATTTTTCAATCAAATCATTAGCTCCAGAGATTAGCGCGTTCAATCAAACATTTTTCGCCATTTAATACTATAGATATACAGGATTAGACGTAGTTTATACGAAGCTAAAAGCCAGGTAATAATACTAAATCATATTGTCCATGTGTTTCAATTAGGTATAACAATAAATTATATAACCCATATTTTTATATAACAACTAGGCGCCCGACCTTGCTTCGCGTTGTTATTTGTATAAGCAATGTTTATTAAATATTGATTTAAAATTGTTTTTTCCAAGGAAGACAGATAGATAAACAGAAAATGTAAAAAAATATCAAAGTACAACAGTAATAAATATCATATTATATAATAATATGTTATTGTACGGTGATCTTTCGGTGTCGATTACTTAATCGTATTATTTATCAATTTAAAGATGTTTGGATTAGCTGAGATTCGAGAAGTGCCAATTTCAGAAAAGTGTTTTTATATCACTTATCTTTGTTGATGACTTATTAATAGTCATCAATCAATAAGAAATAGCAACACTTAAAGAATAACTGTAATAAATAATATTATGAGATAAGAATGTGACAGTGCACTCTGCAATAAGCGCGAAGTTCATATAAATTATATCGTAGTTATTGTAGGTTCATAATTAATATGGGTTGATGTGTGTAGTTATAAAATATTATTTAGGTAATATACATGTCTGAACTATGAAAAATATAACTAATATGAAATGGTATAAAAAACACTCTTATTGTCTATTTTTTTTTCAAGGGATTTATTTTAATGCGTCTAAATTTATTTAGATAATTTTATTGAAGATGCGAATATATTGTGTAATATTATTTATAATATTAGCAATTAGTATGTAAATCGATCCACTCTGAGAGAATTCAGAATGAGGTGACTGCATTTTAGTGTTAAGGGACTGTTTAAAACATACTGACAGTGAAAAGAATACTATCTTTTGATTTTTTTAGTTAGGTAATGGTTTAAATATATCTAAGACTTCAAATAGGTAAGTAATAGATACTAATGTAATTTATAAAAATTTATTTCATTACAATTAGACTATACATATACAATATTATAGATAAAACTTGAATAAAAATTAAAGCCTTATCAGTTCAATATCTTATAATATAAATAAATTGTAGGTAATGATAACGTCCAACCTTCGTTTGATAAAATCAAATATTTAACTTACTCGTATATGGATCATGTATACTATGAATTGTATATTAGATACTTACTCATTACTATGTAACTGTACTTGTACAGTGCAGGACCGACTAGGACCGTGAACAAACAATGTGACTATTGTATGTATAAGTAGTATACATGAAAAGTAAAAAGCTATTGTTAAATTATTTTTCGTTCTTCAAACATATATAGTATAGATATAAGTCGATAATTATACCGACTGAAACCTTAACAAAGTGCCTTCATAAGGAGGATTTTGATTTTTATAATTCAAAAACCTATTTATGAGGTGTCTTCACCAGTCTTAATTGACTTATCTATTAATACTATTTGGAGCTATTAATTTAAATATGGGGCATTGAATAAAAATTTTTGAATAAAAAGGATTTTTCATGTAATTTAATTAGATAAAACCACATAGTGGTAACCGTCTTCTATATTCATGAACAGGACTACAGTTGTCACAAAATACATCGTGATGCACGTGGCACGTCATACACATATGTTTTGTATTCCTCGTACATATTACAGTATATCATATTATTTACACAGTAAAGAAACCATTCACGCTGATTTTTCGTCGTGGATCTAAAATCACAACATATTAATCAATATTTCGATTTAATAATCGTTATGATTCTAGACATTGTTGTTATAAGAATTCGTTAAGTAATTCTCCTAAACATAAGATATAAGTGTCCTAAGCATAAGTTTGTGTAGCTATATTGGTGTACACAAAATATATCTTATGTCTGTTTAATATAAAACATCACATAAATATTCTGGAAATAAAAACATTTATAAAAAAAAATCTACTACATAAAGCTTGCAGTTCATTGAATGAGTCTCCATTCTACTGGAACATTTGAATATCACGCCTTATAATGACATTATTAATGAACCAGGTGACCTATGAGTCTATTAATGCAGCAATCTAACCAAGTCTAGAATGAAACACGTGAGCTGACGACCCGTGACGTACAAGGCTATGCTGTCTTCCCCGTACGTCCCAGCAGCAAACATTTGATTATCACTGAACTGAACGAACATCGACTTAGGAAAGTAACGATCGGGTATCCTCTCCTCCCGTTCCTCGTTTGATACGTCATAGTTACCGAAGACTCCGCGTAATTATGACGTCACAGCGTCGGATGAATTATGACGCCATAGTTAGTAACGCATGCGTAAATATTGTACATCTATATTTAGGTTGTGCGTTACTGCCCATATTTAAGAATGCTGATCAATTAAATACAATACTTGCCTCTTTCGTCAGTCCTGCACAAATGAGAACTTAAAGTAGTATCTATTGAAAAGGAATTATAAAATAACTACTTTTTTCTTTAGATTCAAGTACAATTGTTTAGCCACGATTTGTAAATGCTCTAATTCTAATCATCTCCAGCATATGCTACTTGTATATACCTTTAAAACATCAATTATTACTATACAGCCTATAGGACACAGTCAGAATTATATTTATATACTTCCTTGAATTTAACAAAACTGGATGTGAGGTTTAGAAGAATTGAATAAGAAACTAAACTTTCACGAGTAGATAAATAGATCTTGATAATGATTATATCTGATAAATGGAATGTAATGATAAAATACAAATCTACTTTTTTATCACAAATTGAATAGTAGGGCACATACAACTATAATTTAAAAAGTATCTGACTACAGTTGTTACTTGCTTCTTCGTCTGCTTTACCTATTGGTTATATAAATTTTTAACCCTTATACCAGATTTGTTTGAAATAACATATACAATAAGAAATATACCTACTACCTAATACGAATATACATAATAAATATTTTTTTCACAATTGCACAATATAAAGTTAAATACATAAATCGTCCATAGATTTAGTGGTGAAAAGGTACCTAATAAAGACACAGAGACACTTTACTATGGATCGGAATCAAGTAATGTATAAATAAAGTTAAGTAATTGTTTACAATTAAGTAATTGGTACATATTATACACAGTACCAATTACATACCTACATATTTCGAGACTATACGTATTACAATACTGTATTAACTAAAAACTTATAACTATTTATGAAAAATAATTATGATGTCTGAATATGTAAGTACTTAAATTATTAAAAACGCGAGGTAATCTTATATCAAATTTATAAGTATGTATTAATATATAATTTTGACTGACCATAATGTTTTATTATGATATATTGTTTATTTTTATGCAAAATCTGAAAATAAATCATAATTATTATTATAAATATACATATATGCAATATAGCCAATATATTTTAATCACTCTGTTATTATAATTATGGCATGACATCTCACGATTTTGAACTTAAACGTAAAGTTGTTTTATTAGTCCCCCAGTTGAGTGGAGCACCCTACGAACATGAGTTTGTACGGAGGGGTGCTCCGTAGTGAAATCGCTTGCCATCAGTCCATCACATATTTTGGGCGCCCGCTAACAGATGTCGTGGAAGTTTCTAAATCGTTTGACAGCCAACATGGCGCATCGCGCAGTCGCTATGATTACCACGCAAAACAAGTGAAATCGTGAATATTACATTGATCTCTCTAAAAATACAACAAGGCCTATATAGTGTAAAATCGGCTTGGAATAAAATGAAAATGAAGTTCACGTCGAATTCAGGTACTTTATTATTTATAAGCAGCGTTTGAATTAATACTTCCTGGCGTCATCATGCTTATTAAAGTATTGATTGACTGTAAATTGGTGTCAAATAACTACGTAACTTCACTTGTAACATGTTGATTTAGCGGTATTTTCCTATATGATTACACAGATTATACTTTTGAAACGATAATAGAGCTAAAAAATAAATTGATTAGGTATTATGATTACGCAATAACAAAACCGGAATGGTGCATGTTGGTTACTGCATTCGTTGCTTAGCAACCACAAAGTCCATGAATGTTGTGAATTCATGTTTTACATGCACGAATTCATAGCACGTGGTCAGACTGTGTGTGACATGTGGTTTGATTAATAAATAGTATAAATAATATAAATTAATAATAGTACGAAAAATTAAGAATATTTAGCACTATGGTTGGTTGGTTATATCAATATCTATTGTCTAAATTTAGTTAAACGTGTCGGCAGATGTAGTGATAAGACATATAGATACATGTATTTATTTAGGGTTTTACATAATATTTCAGTAGATACCTATTATTGAATAATATAAAAAAATAAAATTACCAGTTATTACAGTTGTTTGGTATTTTCGGGATGACTAAATACAAGAATGTTATTTTAAAAATAAGATTTGAAAATATACTTAGATGGACCAACACTCCGGATTGATCTGTTTTCCTCTATTGCTTTTTATAAAATTGACGTTCAGTGCCATTCGAATTTATTAAAATAATGTCATTTGTATCTATGTTTTTAGCAACCTAAAAAAATAAGTTTTAAAGAGTGGTTATAAATAGATATGCGATATTAAACATAATAGTATGTAAATGACGTTAATATAGAGGTTTATAAATATATCTTTATAAATATATATATTTCAGTACTACCATTATTACTTGTTGCAGATTGGTAGTATAACTTAGGTTGATATATAGATTGATGATAGATGTCTTTGTCTGTTCAGCGTTTTGTGATCTAGCGTAAAAAGTACAGAATACTCATACAATTTTATTATAAGTTGTATCAATTAAACCTAATAAATAATTACTATTTATTTTCATAATTTTACTAAGTTCTACTATCTTTTATTTGCAGGTATCAATGCTTCCTCCAGATTATGGATCATTGAAAAGGTATAAATATTAAAATCATATAAGAAATGGATCCAATCTTAGAAAATGAATCCGCAACGTCGGAGACTCCTTCCAAATATGGAAAGAAACACAAACATAAAAAGAAAAAGGGCGATGTACAAAAGGACAGTCAAACAGTTATTGGTGAGAAAAAGAAATTTGTTGTTACAACGTTATCTACGTCTGATGATAAAGATGGTGCATCTAGTAGTATAGCTTCGAATAACGTACACACAGTACATTTTGGAACGCGTGGTGTGGAGTCGCAGAGACCTCATATAAGATCTATTTTTAAAGATAGATCTGGTCAATCATCAAGGCCCTCTAGTACTGAAAGAGATCCTACTGAAACGAAGGAATATGAAACTTTTCACGGAACATCATCTAGTCCACGTAGCTCTATTTTTGACATATTTCGATTAAGAAGAAAAAGTGATGCAAAGAAGTACCAGCCTAAACCTGCAAAGCAAACGGAAAGTCAAGAAACTCCAACAGACGAGAATAATACCAGTGAATCAAAAGATTCTCATAAGAAGTACTATCACACAGTAACAGGAGTTTCATCTCGAAAATCTAGTCCAATTACAAGAATAATGGATATATTTAAGACTAAGCCTCATAACGAAAACCATCAAACTACTGCTGATCCAGTAAAAAAGAAAAATCGTCGATCTTCCATAGAGACCACTTCTCCGACCTATCATAAAAATTCATATGCATTATGGGATCCCACACAGGCTAAACAGTTATTTAGAGAAGTCCGGGGTCTACCTAAATACGACCCCTATTTGTCAATAGTTCAAATATCGATTGGAGGCAGAGATAAAACAAAATTATTGTTAAATTTTTTTAAATATCATAAATGTTATGAAATTTTGCCTAAATCAGCAAAAGTTATTATTTTTGATACTCAATTTTTAGTGAGAAAAACTTTCCCTACGCTTATTTCACATGGTATACGGTCTGCACCACTTTGGGATGCTAATAAAAAATTACTCGTTGGTATGATTACAGTAACTGATTTTATTCGCATACTTTTACATCTAGACGCTGAAAATTTGTCAGTGGAGGATTTAGAGCGACATACCCTTCACAATTGGAGAAAAATATTGCGATCAACTAGAAAAAATCTATGCAGTGTAAGCCCTGATCAATCTTTACATGATGCAATAAATTTACTGAATAAAAATCGTATTCACCGTCTCTTAATGATAGACCCACAGACTGGTGATGTATTGTATATATTATCTCATAAGAGAATTTTAAGATTTCTATTTGTATATTTAAATGAATTCCCTGAACTAACGTTTTTTCATAAAAAATTGTCTGACTTAAAAATTGGAACATTCGATGACATTGTATCGGTAACCGATAATACTACTATTAAAACAGCATTTCAGTTGTTATTAGAAAAAGATATTTCAGCTTTACCAGTTTTAGATGATAATGGTATTCTTATTGATGTCTATGCTAAATATGAAGTTTTGAATTTAGTCAGTGAAAAGCTTTATGCAAATTTATCATTGACGATCGGCGAAGTAAGAAATAAAAAAAAAGACTGGGAAGAAAAGTTACAAAAATGTCTTTCAAGTATTACTTTATATGAGGCCTTAGAAGTTATAGTTAGAACTGAGAGTCATCGATTATTATTAGTAAATAAGGAAGGTAAACTTGTAGGAATTGTTTCACTGTCGGATATTTTAGTATATTTAAATAGAATAATACCTACCGAGAAAAAGGTATCGTCATTGCAAGAAATCTTCAAACCGCTTGAAGAAAATAAAGTAGCTGAGTCACCAAGGGAAAATGAAAATGAAGTTCTAATTATTGATGTACCAAATTTGAAAGTAGAAGAAAATATTGTACCTGAAATTAATGTGGAAGAAATAATTTCTGAAACAAATAACGATGTAAATAGTTTACCAAACGAAAATATTAATGAAGAAGACAATATAAGTGACAGCAAGTTAGTTGAAAGTGTGGATGATAATTTGAGCGTAGAACCTGCCATAGTCCCTTCTACGACAGATGAATCAAACACCGATATAGATAATGCGAATAATTAGATCAAATTTTAATCCAAAGAAATTGTGATAGGTGAAATCGCCGAGTCAGTATATTAATCTCAAATATGCTTTTGCTTGTATTGATATTGTAATTTAACATGATTAATAATGCATCAAATACCACGTGATTGCCTTATTCATTTAAATCATTATTGAACATTGCTGAAACTTAATAAAATATTTTAGCAGCAAATTCTACTTTTTTAATTGGTATTTCCATAAACCATTTTAATGGATACAATTCCAATATATAGGAATTTTGAAATTTCAAAATATATCGTTGTTATGGATTCAGAGATTCCGTAGTACCTACAGTAAACAGTTTTATATAATCAAATATGTATCGTAATACAGAGCAACTTCAGTCAAAGAGGACATAGGAAAACAATTCTTTAATTGTTTTCCTATGTTCCTATTTCCTATGTAAATATGTATGTAACATTTTTTTAAATTTATGAAGCACTTATTCCAATGTAGCTATAGAAATGTGTAAAATGTTTTCATCAATTCACTGTGTTGACTTATTCATATTGGTAGTTCTGCCATCTAAAAAGTATTTTTTGTGGGGTCGATTAATAACGATGTGCGTGTGTATGTTTCATATACAGTAAAATCAGGTCTGCTACTCTTAGGTGTGGTCTGTTGAATAAGAGCACAACACAACTATAAAACCTGTTAAATAAACACGCAAGGACATTTGGGTTAACTTGTGATAATAATAAAAAATATTTAAAAATTTGCATACAACGTTGTACGGAGCGATTAATATCGATTTGAGTAAGATTATATTATTATTTATTTATATGATATCGTTTTGTGAATGCTTGTATATTAAATATTATTATATTTTGTTAAGTATACCTACCTCCATAAACGTATCTATACTTTAACTGAAGATTATCTATATAGTATGGTCAATTCGTTTCATTCATTTTTATTTAATTTTTACTATATTCATCTAATTCATACGCTTTAAATTGAAAGATAAAAGTAAAAGTCTCTACTGGTAGTTATTACTTGCGGTTTTTTAATATTAGGTACCTATATGTACATATATGTATGTAAAGTGTTATAAACAGTTCCATTTACACCGCCAGTAAACTTGTTTTAATCCTATATTCATTCCAACAATACAAATAAATGCGTAAATATTAAAATATGCATACGTTAGGTACTAGTGACATAACCCGTAAGTAGATGTTGTACAATGAAAATTATTAGGTATCATTGTTACAGAGTAGATAGAATTACATAGGGGGTGAGGCTTATAATCTGTTATATATATATATATATATATATATATGTACATTATATATATATATATTTAACATAAATATGATAATATCTGTAAAATTGTCTGTAAGAAATATGTTCACTAATTTTCCATACAGACATTCTTTTTTATATTACTTAATTATGATAAGCATATAGAACACTGATGTAAATGCCCCCAAATCATGAATCATATTGTATACTAGCTGTACACGCGATTTCGTCCGTGGTAATTAAGTTTGCATGGAATTTAACTTTATTTTTCTAAAATAAAGCCTAAAATACTCCTTATTACATCAGCTACCTGCCAAAAAAAGTCCCGTCAAAATCGGTCCACTCATTTCAGAGATTAGCCGGAATGAACAGACAGATTGCAAAAAATGTTATTTTGGTGTATGTATCATATTTATATTCATATGCATATAGTAAAAATCGGTTATTTCAATATTACAACCAGACACTCCAAATTTATTTATATGTATAGATGTATAGATTTGTTAGAATCGTAGTGTTCTGTTCCTTACGTCACCTTGATTTTATTATAAAAAAATTAAGAAGTTGTATTAGTACTATGTAGAATATTTATGACTAGATTTATCGCCTATATATGTATTTGTATATATCATATATCACTGTAAAGTTTCATCAAAACCCGTTAAATGGTTTTTGCGTGAAAAAGTACCAAACATCTACCCATCCATACTCACAAACTTTTGCGTTTATATTATTAGTATGATTAGCAGTCATCTGCCACTTTATATAAGTTTTATTGAGATAAAAGATAGCCTATATCCGCACTCGTGATTTATTCTATCTTCACGTCAAATATCATTATAATCCGTCATGATCAGTTGTTTAATCGGGAATAGAAAATAAGTAGACACACACACTTTCCCATTTATAATGTTACTGTGTATTAAAAGAATTCTATAAAAATGCAGCGCTGCAAATGGAGTGCACCGTTGGGATCGCGACGCGGCGACCGGTCCGTTGGAGCAGTGGACCCGGAACAAACCACTACGGCCCAAGGTCGTGCTGATCTCTTACTTTTGGCCGTGAATTAATTTTATCTTGTCTCGTCTCTAACCGACGCTATTACATATCGTATTACATAAATTATGTATAATTGGTATATAAAACTGTATTGATTTACTGCCTGTGCTTCGCGTTGTCTTTATTTTTTAATCCAATATAGAGTAGAATTTTTTCCATAAAATAATAATAATCTCAGGACAATTGATACAACGCTACCTACATCCAAGCTGAGCTGGCTAAAGCTTATGTTATGGGTACTAGAAATGAAACTACTACATAGATATATTTTTTTATTAAATACATACATATTATACATAGAGAACACCCTGATACAAACAATCATACTCATGAATACAAATGTTTTGCCGGGCGAGGAATCGAATCCGCAACCCACGGGAGGAAGTAAGGCGGTGTGCTAAACAGTACTGTTTAGTACACCGGCTTACTTACATAAATTACATATATATTTAATATTAACGTCTGTTTCTCCTCTTACATTTTTCTAAACTACTGATGGATTTTTCTGCGGGTTTTATTATGATTTCGGAAGGTCAGGTGCACATATAGAATTTTACGACTTCCATCAAATACACTATAGGTACACCCGAGCGAAGACAAGTTTAGTGTCGTTTAATTAACATGCAAATAAATACTGTAGGTATAATTGATTTACCTTAGTCCTCCGGAATGGCAACGCGTGTCATCACGGATGTTTCATGGCCCCCATAAGGAGGGGGGCAGTTAGCTTGCTTGACATTCCAATTCATACTGAAAGTAAATAATAAAGAAACAGTATTATTGTCAGCATATAAAATATTGCCGTCTAGTCCCGAATTAAACCAAATTTGTATTATGGTTATATGCTAGACAAGTGATACTCGAACTCCAAAGTTAATACTCATAGTATTAAGTTCGTCTTTGTACTACATTTTAGTTGCAAATAAAGTTAAATATATATATATTTTACACTTACATAAAGAAGCACGAATAAATATTTATATTATGCAATAACAAGTACGTGACGAAACTATTGAATTTACTAACTGTGTAACATTATGATTAATAATGCTATAGAACTAGTTATTAAATGATATTTTTTATTACGATCGGTTAATATTTGTATGTTAATTCAAAACAATACAACGTTGTAAATAAGCTTTTGTTAATGCCAGTACAAATATCATTGATAATGCCATTGATTAAATTTCCAATTATACTATAGGATAGTAAAAAAATTGCTTTTGTTCTTATTACAAAGTTTTCAGGTCTGAATACAAAAGTTGTTATTACATGTTACCCCACAATAGATTCAATCAGATTGTTTACAAAAAAAAATTGTCATTTTGAGAGCATTAGCATTTGAATTTTATTTATCAGCATCATGTGTTTAAAGAAAACCGATTAAGCTAAGTGCTCTTGTTAATTTCATTTGTAGATGGTACTGATTTTTTAGCTAGAAATGAATAAGGAAAAGAACGTCTTAGGTATTATATATCAAAATAAATAGTTTATTACAATATTTGTAATGTTTGTGTAATGTACATAAAATGGATAATGCCTCTCAGGGAAGTTTACATTATATAATCCTATAATCCCGTTAATATTCCGGTTTTGACAGTTTCATATAGGCATGCAGCAATGAATTAGACAGCAAAATATGAAGATAACTTGTCGAATTACGAAATCGAGCAAGTAGCTGCCCACTCACATGAAACCGGTAAGTCACTTGACATCGGTAAGTAAATATGGAAGCTTGTCGTGATTGTGAGACGAATCTGCCTACACATCACGCCTGTCGACCGACTACCGACTATCCGCTAGTAGCAGTTACGCACATTACTAACAAATTAACAAACAAGCTATTCATTACAGTATCATATATATATATTATATTATAAATGTATAATTATAACATGGCATTTTATATATAAAAGTATAATATATCCCTAGACATGGTTCCCATACTGATAGTAGTTTTTTAGATATTTCTTTTATATGCAATTAAATTTGAAACCGTTTCTCAGCGCCACAGAGTTCACGTCATAAAGTAATGCAGTACCCCTAATGTATACTCTGTAATTTCACTGCCATATTTCATAGTTCACAGAAACATTGTTTGCTTGCAAGCTACTTGGCAGCTAAAATAGATGAGACAGAGGTACACGCAGCGATGACTTTGAACAAAGTCTGCCTTGGTAACGGCAAACAACCTTGATTGATTCCTATATAAAATACAATCTAAAAACTTGTCAATACTAAATATACAATACAGATTTTTAAGTGGAAAATTTAGTAATAATATTCGAAGTAGGTAGATCGTTTAACATAAAATTACAATTTGACGCACATAAAATAATAGAACTATAGGATACTAAGTACTGAAGTCTGAAAATTGTATCTTTCTTCAACATATATAAAATACATAGTTTATGCAGATATTTAGAAATAAATATATGTTGATTTAAAGTGGATGCACAGATACTTGTATACACAAGTATACTATAATATATAGTATACTATAATATATAGTATATATAATATAAATATAAAGTCGTAGTCTCTATTTTATTTACATTGTTATGTTTTCAAGATAAATAGATTTGAAGCAAGTGAAGTCCGTGGAATCCAACCGTGGTTCAAACCAGTAGACATCATGTAACCTACAAAATATTAAACAAACTAAATGTTAAATTTACCTGAGTTTCAAATCGTGGGTTAGGTACAGTAACCGCTATTAGGTGAACCACATTTTTAGTTTTCATTCCTATTATTATATTATGAAAAGTTATAAAGTTTCTTTGAAGTGTGCCTACTTATTATAATAAGAAGATCAGTAATTATATTAAAAATCAAGACGAGTTACTCTAATAAATAATATGAATTTACATATTTAATCGATCATGTAGAGGTCGTGCGATAGACGCCGAAGTTTACAATTCTAGACCATTATTATTGCGGAATGTAAATTCAAGGATGACAGTCTTTTATTTGTATATTTAGATAGTTAACTATTTTTTTGGAATACACAAAGTCACATTTTATTATAGAATAATTTTCAATTAGGTTCGCTTACTTTCTTTATTCTTCTAGTCATTACAATTTGGACATTCTATAATAGGTATAGCTTTTATCTTCATACCATAATTTATTCTCAAAAGTAAGCTAGAGAGAGTTTGGAAAGGTATTGTCGACATGATAGTGAATATTACTATAATTACTAAGTATATATATTAATTGTAGATACTGTTTAGATCATGCCAGATTTTATCGAACTATGCGTTTTGGCCGCAGCTGTCCCACTATTGAGAGCCACCGAAGAGGACAATATTCCTGCGAAGCTGTCCTGCCACAATCTGATCAACTTACACCACTCTATGCCTACTCGTAACATATACTTAATCTACTATAAACACGACTAATGTAAATCGTACATAGATTTCAAGACTCAAGGGTCAGCTGCAAAGT